TTTATCAAATAAAAGACTTGTGGCCAGAAAAAGATAAAGATTTACAGTAAAGACAGATTCACTTAAGAAAAAGCACTAAAGGTTTACAGTGTGTTCTAAAATAAATGTAGGCTTGGGAGAGAAAAAGAAATAAAATGGTTTTAAAAAGACAAAGAGGAACTGGGTGTGGTGGCACATGCCTTTAATCCCAGCACTGAGGAGATAGAGGCAAGCAGATCTCTGTGGTTTCCAAGTAAACCTGGTATGCAGAGTGAATTCCAGGACAGATAAAAGTTACACAGAGAAACCCTGTCTCAAAAAATGAAAAAATAAAAGTAAAATAAACAGAAGAATAATAAAGCCACGTAAAGATGAAAAGCTCAGAGAGAATCTGGTTACTGTATGTTATTGTGTTGTCTCTGCATTGTTTGACTGCTGAGAAAATAACAACTGATAAAGGAAATACTGCTGCATTAATTCAAATTCTTTATTTTAAAAATGCTTTGAATCCAAAATTTAAGTCTAAGGACAAGTTACTGGGAAAAAGGATTTCTATTTTTGTTTCCACAGAAAATGAAAAGCTGTGGATTCCTTGAAGAGTAATGTGGTTTGATCAAGTCAGACCCCCTGAAACAGAGTCGCTGGTGATCCAACATTCAAAACAGCTTGAACAAGGCAGTCTTGCAGACTACAGCCAGGATTTCTGCGTCTTCTTAGGATCCCCATGACAGCGCCCCCTATCAGCAGGAAGTAGTTTGGCAAGAACGACGCCCAAATTCCCAAATATTGTTTATAAATGTTTGTTTTCATTTAAATGGTGTTGGTTATAAATGGTTAATGATCACAACCAATATCTTTTTAAAGGTAAAAAGGGAATTATGGTATAGATATGAATACTTTGTTTTGGAATGGATTTTCATTTATTGATACAATTTAAGGTCAATTTTGTGATATGTATATTTCCCCTCTTGTTTAGGTATTGTGTTTATATAGCTCATTTAGAAATGTCATGTATAAGGTAGTACATACAGATTATAGATAATTACCTATGATAGTCAAAGCTTAGAGTTAAGTTAGTTAGGTTTTCAAGATACACAGAGATGTATTTGAGATAGGCATTCTTCAAACCTTTCAAGGACCTACAGATTATGGCATTTAAAATGGCTTAGGGTTTTTATTGACAGTGAGACATAATTGCTCCTGGCAACGCCACCTGCGTCAGAAAGGAAGATGGACCTTGAAGAAATGAGTTATGGAGTTTGCTTTCAATATGGCAAGACTAGCCATTTGGACAAGATACTGCTCTTGTCTGGACTGTTTGACACTATGCTGTATAAACTGGACATGCAGGACCCACAGAAATGTGACTGCTGATACAAGATGGACATTGCTACAGGGTTCCTGCTTCATGGAAGAGTCTGCCAGACAATCTGCAGTACACAGAGAAAAGTGACTGACATACTGCCAATACAAGAAGACAGTTCAAGTTTCCTGCTTTGCTGAAGAGTCTGCCAGACACATTATGGCCTATGGGCTGAAGATGGAAGATTACAGAAGAACTTCAGGTGACTGACAAATTAAGACGTCTCTGTCATTTCTAGAGTTTATATATTATCTTTCTGTGGTCTTTGAAGGAGTTGAAGACAGATAGTTATGGTTATAGTTTTCCTTAGTTAAGCTTAAAGATAAGTTACATATAGGACTTTAGACTCACAAATATAGGATAGATGATAGGATAGAATTTAATCTTGCTAACTGTTAATGAACTAAATATTGTTAACTGTGATTCTTATTTGATAACTGTTATGTTATATATTTTGCTCTGTTAAGGTTAAAATCCTTCTTTTTATTTAGACAGCAAAGAGGAAATGATGGGAGATGTCATTATGTATATTTGTTTCTCATACTGGTTAATGAATAAAGCACTGTTGGCCAATAGGAAAGGAAGATAGGAGGGACTAGGAGACAAGGAGGAAAGAGGAAGTACTAAGGAGAGCCAAGATGGAGAGCCTGGAGAAGGAAGAACCGCCAGCCACTTCTCCCTGGTAAGACCAGGTGGAAATACATAGAAATGTTCTAATAATTAAGACAGAGCTAGCAGATAAGAAACAAGTAACTGGGCCAACAGAATTATATCTAATACAGAGGCTCAGTGTATTGTTTGGGGCTGGCGCGGCGGCGGGACCAGACCAGGTGGCGGGAGGAAAAACCCGTACTCCTTACAACCATGCCCAGCTGTTTCAATGGGTCCCAGTATATAAACTAAGGTCTTCATGTTTATGCAAGGGCCATTTTACCAAGGAAGCCATCTTCAAAGATCTCTATACAACCTACTTAAAAGAAGACACATGGTAGCCAGTTCTGGGTCAAGCCTTTGTTAGACAGCCATGGAGAAGTAACAGTTCCTTGTGTAAGAAACAGGCTGGGAACTGGTTAGTACTGATGTGACAAGTGGCTTTGGGGGAGTAAGAGGTGAAGGAAGAATAAAGAAGCTAGGTCTAGATAATTTTTTTCTGACTGAGAGCAGCTGGTAGAATTTAAGGAAGCCTTATTCTATAGACATTGGGATGAGAAATGAATCTGTTTTGCTTTTCCATCCCTCCCACATGTCACGTGAGGGGTGGAATTCTTTTAGACTTTACAAATTAGGCTAAATATTAACAATTGTTTGTAGCTTGGAATCCAGCCGATACTGCAGTTCCTTAGGAGCATATTCCAAGGCTGAGCTTCACTGAAATCTAAACTGTATTGAGTGGTTATTATAATGTGTTCCTCAGTACAAACTTATTCCTTGGGCTAGAGTCCCTACAAATTTAAAATTATGACAAAAAACATCTCAGTGCTTTTTGCCCTTAATAGAGTTACACCCCTCTGTTAATTATTGCATTTACAATATACACCCACTTTCAATTCCCTCTAAAACAGACCCATCCCAGGTGAAGGCCAGCCTTGCCATGCTTTCATAGACCATGGAGCACACAGTGATGCCCTGACTCTTCCAATTATAGCAGTCCTTGAACCTTGGATATGAAACTTGCTAGTCTCATAGTTATAGCCACTTTGCTTTGAAGTGTAATTTCAGACCAAATGAGTGTGAATTAGCTCTCCTAAGGCTCCAACGAACCAAGGTTGTTTTCAGTGGCCTACATAGTAAACTAAAATGCCTTAAGCAGGAATTAGCTTAACAGAAAGCCCAGTTGCTGAACAGCATATTGATTAAGGAATTTAGGGGAATGTAATAGAATTTCAATTTTCTCTATTTGCTTAGAAATAATTTCCCCATTTGAACAGAGAAAAGAACATTACTTTCCGATATTAATTTTATGAGACAATAGGGCTGAGAGATGTAGATATTTATGTGAAGGTGAGATGCTCTGATTGCTGGTTTGAACAAGTAAAATAGATGTCTTGTCTTCTGACAAGAGTTAGTCAATGCCATTGCTAATCTCCACCTTTACAAAAGAAATGGGTTGGCTTTCTACCAAGCTGATTGGGAGGGAAAGATGAATAAAAACACATACATGTAAAGCCATTAGTTCAATCTAACCCATAATAAGGACACTGAAATGCTTATTATAAAATATCAAATGGGCAAATTCATTTATGGTGTTGCAGTCATAAAATCTTTGGCTACTGTTTGTGGTAAGATCTGGTTTGAGTCATAAACTGGGCATGATGGTGCTTTAGTCATTCTACAATATCATCTGCTATTTATCCTAAAGAAGTTTGATTGTTAAGGAGGGGCATAAAACACAGCAGCCCATACTATCCCCTCTAGTAATATTAAAAATTGGCAATTTGGGATTGCATTTTGTCATTTAGGAGAAGATGTGTTGACCTAGAAGTTGGTGCTAAGTAACACAGTCTTCTCAGGCAATTCTAAGCAAAGATTGCAATATGTATATTTTCAACCATTATGTAAATATATTTGCTTCCTAAGTTCATGTTAGGCTCATAAAGTTCAACTTATAAGTTCTGTTTCATATATTTTACAAACAACATTAATGATAAACTAATGTTATACATTTGAAAGAAAAAAATCTCATATTCCAATGAAGTATTCTAGAATGTACACATGTATATGCATGTATGTGGACAAATGCACATAAACTTGGACACAACGCAGTTGAATTAATTTATATTTTCTAAATAGTTTCCTGCTCAGTAGGATGTGCAAAATAACACATCTTTATGACATTGAATAGCTATACACACTGAGATTCAGGCTTATACTCAGCAAAATTTCATATTTTACTCACTAAATAGGAAATATCTTATCAAATACAGCATAGCAATTGTCATTCTAGTTATTATACCTTAGCTCTTCAAAGCGCCCACAGAAGACCTTCCATTTCTCTCTACCTCTCCTTATTTGCTAATAACCTTACATCTGTTTTCCAAAGTATTAAATTTTTAGAAACGACTTTTCATACAATCAACGCCTAGTTTAAAACATTGCCAAATAGCCCAACAAACTACTAATTTCACTACCAACTTCAAAAACATGCTTATTAAATTAAATTAAATGACTCTTTGAGAATAAGTGTGTTAAACTACTAGGAAAAGACTTATGCCAATGCAAGTATTTGCAATCACACTGATGAAAGGATGCCACATATCTGCCAACCCAAATACTTAAAACCCCAGTTTCACATGTACCCTGAATGAATATCCATTTGCATGAATTTCTATCAAAAGCAAACATAAAGAATCCCAATAATCACATGTACCATAAAGGAACATCCATCTATAAATTTATCTAGACCAAAAGTATCCAACAAGAAAACAGTGTCAATATTTCTCAAATTCTATAAACTTCCTGGTGGTCACAATCTAACAGAGACACAAAATATACTATTTCTCCTCCTGCAATGAAAAATGATTCAGCTAAGGCACTGTACTAATCAATTTTTAAAAGTAATTTTCTCTTGATATTAGACATCAGACTCTTTTTCTACCCTCACATCTGCAGAATGTGAAATTGATGGTATAAAGTGAGCATATACTTTAACAAGTCTTACCATTGTCGTTCTTCAGTGTTCCATTGGTGAGTTGTTTAAGTCTCTTCTGGTGAGATTTGCCATTGTAGTGAATTTGTGCTTGAGCGGCAGAATTCAGCTGAATGTTACACACACTGCACAAGGTGAAGCTCGAGTGTTTTTTTTCCCGTTCTGGTTTCTCTTCAAACTCATCAGGCATTAATTCAGCCTCACTCTCTCCATCTTGTGCACTTGTAAAATCTGGAAAAAGAGACAGGCAAGCAGATGGAGATTTCTAGATCCTCAGAGTTTATTGAGCTAGTCATCTAATAAGGCTTTAGAAGCTTGAGAATTAAACTTCCCACTTTTCCCACGTTAGTAGGTTGTAGTTATAATTCAGAAGGGGATGGGAGAATGTTGCATTCATAGAAGAATATAGACAACAATACAGACAACACAGCTTATCGTGCTGTGTCCAGGTACATAGCACACATCATCTCATTTTGACTGCTATAACAATTGAAGAGACATTTTCAGTTTTCCAATCCCATAGTGGAGGAAATTAAGGTCACACAAATAATTAGTGAAACATAGTTGAAGTAAGCACATGTTGTATCTGTAAATCAGCAGTTCTGTTCATTATATGTTTTAGTATGCGTAAATCAATTGGGTATTTCTCTTTTGATTCATTGAAAAAGAATTGCTTTCATTTTAGCCAGACCTGATGGCAAAGCATGAAGTCTTAGCAACTGAATAAGTTAACACAGGGGACAGTAAGTTCAAAGAAAACCAGGACAATATGTTGAGATAATCTTTCAAAAATTGTTTTAGAAAGTAAAAAAGCAGGTTACATATGTTGTTTGGTGGTGATTCTTCTTCCGGGAGTGGTGACACCTGGAGTTAACTTCTACTTGGAGTTCCAACTTCCTTTTAAATATCTTGCTTTTCAAATTCCTTGCCTTAATTAAAGTGACTTAGTGACTTACCCCAAGGTGGTACATCCTACACTTACAAAACTGCTATATCGACACCCACCATTTCATATAGTAGCACTGAAGTACAAAACATGCACTAAACATCCAAGATGTTGTCAGACTCAGAACTTCATAAGCACAGTGTGATAACACATAAGGGATCTGTGCTTATCTTTCAAAACATTTTAGTATTTGTTCCATAAGATTGGGATAGTTAAGTGACTATAGCGCTGTATTTACTCTTCATTTTAAAATAATTTGAAACCCTTGTGTTCTTGTTACAAGGGACTCAGCATAAGTTACTTATGCTCTAGCTATGATCTATACATGCCCTTTGCCCATATTCTTCACTGGCAATGAATGTAGTCCCTTGATTGTCCTGACAAATCTCTCCTGCATGTTTACGCCTGTCTACTTTGTTTTCTAATCTACCCACATTAACCAGTGTGATTTTGAGTTTGGGCTTATGAATTGAAGGCTGGTAGGCTTAGAACTCAACTAAAGACAGGGATTTTTCATCCATCATAATCCAAGGTAAATTTTACAGGCCTGTGAATTCTTTCTTCCCCTTTCCAGCATTGTTAAGTTAATAGAGCTGGTCTTTGTGGACCCAGAGCAGGTAACTACTAAAGTTGATATGAGTTAATGATTACAGTGCTTGTATGAAATATAGTTAATGGTGTCCTTACTTCCAATTCTTGCATACATTCCTCTTCCATGGTATTTTCTGAGCATTAGGGGGTGTTATGGATGACTTATTTAGGATGGATCCATATTTTCTGCATCTTAGTCAGCAATGACTCTGCATTTACCATAGTTCATTGTAAGAGTTGGTCCCTCTGCTTAAGGCTGAGAGACGCTTGCATTTCTTGTGATAGAAGAGATATTTAATTGGAAGTTTCAACCTAACTGATCATTAGCAGTCCATTTCATTTCATCATGCATCAGCCTCCTATCTCCCTCAAGTTGATATCCAGACAAACAATAGCAGGCATTGGTCACCCCACCTTCCATGGTGTATGCTTTGAGTCTATTTGGAGGACAGTCAATTACATTGCAAGAGTCCAGCCACCATCATATAAGGTGTACATCTTACTTTCCAAATGTCTTTTTTTATAACCCCTTTGTTCCAATTAGTCCTATCCCTATTCTGAACCCTATATCTTCAACTCCTTCAATGCCTAAACATTTTCATCAACCATATTCCCCCTCTTTATACTCTATTTTCTACTAGCCCTACTTCCTTAATGTAATACTGCCTGCTCTTCCCTTCCTAGCTTTCTAGCTTGTGTAGGCACTTCATGTTAGATATACAGTACTTAAAACACAAATCTAGGATCCTCATGAGAGAGAGAGAGATACTATGTGGTGTTTGCACTTTGGATTTTTTGTTGGCCCACCCACAGTAATATTTGCAATTTATTCTATTTCCCTGCAAGTTTCATAGTTTGTTTTTTCCTTACAGACAAACAACCTTCCATTTTGTATATGTACCACGTCTTTGTTATCCACTTATTTTGCAATAGGCATCTAGTCTGCCTCCATTCTCTTCCATTTGAAGGATAGCTATAGACATAGACTTATAGGGATTCTGCATGCAAGTTTTCCTCATATACTTACTTATTTAAATATGTTAACCAATGCCATTTAAATTGTTCTTAAATATTTTAAACAATATAAAATCATGTCCTCCTTTACTTTTCTTCCTTCAACCCCTCCCATGTACCTACCTAGCTCTCTCAAATTCTGTGTTCCTTTGTTGTGTTATCTATACATTCTTAAATATAGAAATATGACCTGACTAAACCACATAATGTTACACACACACACACACACACACACACACACACACACACACACACATATATATATATATATATATATATATATATATACATGATTTGAGGCTGACCAAATTGATCAATTTGATAACTAATGGAGTGGTATTCTTCCCCAAAGAAGACTATTATACTGATGTCAATATTCTTGATTGCCTGTAATTCTGTATCTATGTTTGGTTTCTATGTGATTGCTTACTTACTAAAAATGATACATGAAATTTATACTTAGGGAACCCCATTAAAACAGTATTAATGGTATAACTGAAAGGGCTATATTAAATAATAAACAGATTTTTTTAAATGATGGCATTATTTTAGCTAAATCCATAATGCAAGTGTATTAGCTTTTCCTTTATAAATAACTTAATTCTTTCCCATTGATTTTAAAATTTTAAACTCCGTTATCTTAAATATTATTCAGTAATGGAAAAGACTAAATAAATCCTGGTTCCACTGTCTATTATGTATTGGACACTCATTGCAAAAGAGAGGAAATGGCAAAGTGATTCACTTCTATAATCCTAGCACTTCAGAAACTGAGGCAGGAGAACCACCATGACTTCTCTAGAGTTAGCCTCTTCTTCACAAAAATATAAAGAATGTAAAAACATCTTAATATCACATTTTATGCTTTAATTTAATAAATGTCAATGACATACTTAAAACTATATGCAACACACTATGGACACCTGCTAGCAATATTTGTTCTTTTGACATTTGGTGATATTAGTTAGGTGATATTTGGTGATAAATTTGATATTTAGTGAGACTAGAATTGGCTTTTTCTTCAGTTTTTCTGTATTTTTAAAAATTTTGCATGAAAACCACTTGCCAGTTTATCATAAAAAAATAAATCAATATCTACCAAAAAAAAAATGCCAGAAAGGGCACTTTTAGTATGCAAAACAAACAACTCAAAGTTTTCTAAACTAAGGCCATGCTTTAAAGTCCATTGTCATTGGTGAGAACTTGTGACACATTATTTTGCAAAATATATTCATGTTTAGAAGGAAACACTATCTTGCTTGGTCCACATTGCTACCTAGTCACATAAAATAAGATGATCTGCCAACACCTCAGCAGGCATGATAATCCAGGAGAATTGTTTCCAGGCTTGGGGATTCATTTGCCACACAAGCAGTCTTTTCTGCACATGAGGGAAAGTGAAGTCAGCAGCAGATGGCATGAATAAGCTTGTTCTGAAGACAAAAACAACATTCAAAGGGAAAAAAGAAGGTAAAGTATATTCACCACGGCACAGACACATGTGGGGAATTAGACCCTTAAATAAACATTAGAATTGGTTTCGGACATCATAAAACATGTCTAGTGTGGACAAGAAAGCAATGCCTTGAATGATAATGCCCAATGGAGGATCAGAGGTGCATAGATTAATTTTCCTTCCAATATAGTAAGGGTATTTTATTTAAATTATTGAATGGAAATTTTGCTCATTTGAGTTCCTTTTAAAAAGATCCATTAGCCACAATACTGCTTAATATTATTTTAATCAATGTTCACTTGTCTGTACCTGAACCTCATGGCACTCCATGAACTTGTAGGACACTGAAAAGGTGTTGGTCTAGACAGTTCCAGGAAACAGGGCTAAAAACACAGTTAATAAATGTAGAAATTATATATTGGCTTCTGTGTGTTTTAGACTTTTAGGTATGAAGATTAGCATAATGCTACAAACTCAAAGGAATGATTTAAAGTTAGTACCCACAGTTAATCTCATCTTGGGTAAATAGTAATCAATATATCTGAATATGAATTGAGAAAAAAATATGAAAACAACATAACATCCCCACACCTACCCAATGGGATTTAGCTTACTTCTTAATATATACTTATTTAGTATTTGCAAATTATTTTTAGTGTGTGTGTGTGTGTGTGTGTGTGTGTGTGTGTGTGTGTGTGTGTGTGCGCGCGCGCACAGGCGCGTGTGTACCACACCCACATGTCATGTTCAGATATTTTCTGATCCTAACACCCTCTGAACCATCTTCTGGTCCCAAGTGAACACTTTTTTACAGAAGCTGAAATGTCAGTGCTTACACCAAAGCACCAACTTCTGTCTTCAAGAATGCTATTTTCTTATCTCTCTAACCCATACTAGCACTGAGCAACAAGCTATACTTCTGGCACTGAGCAACAAGCCATACTAAATTCAAAGTCTCAAAATAAAGTAAGAATCAAGATTTTAGATAGTCATTGATGGCACATCCATGACCAAGCTAGAACCATCAAGGAATATTTAATAACAGATCATTGGGTTATAAACCAAAGCTAAGAATGTAATAGCCATATTCTGGGAACTTCAACAAATTACCTACAATATCATAAAATTGTAAGTGAACACAGATTGTACAATATCCTTGTTTATTAATAGTTCCTGCCACTGTAAAACTTAACAAATAAACTATTAGGGATTTGTAAAT